ACCTGGTCGTTGAAGTCGCCCTCCGGGGCGCTGCCCCTGGGCAGCATCCTTGACACAAGGAAGAGGAGCACTGCTCAAGCCAACGGCTGTTGTAGAGGCGGCTTGCAAGGAACGGGCTACCAGCACACAGATACAAGCGCACTGACAGTCAGTAAGGCTCAACTCAAGCGACGCGCTGCGACCCGCACCCTCCCCGGGCAGTCCTGAGGGAGGAGAGGAGGGAGAGAGAGCTGGGAAGGAAGTGAGGCTTAAAAGGCTGCGGCGATCACGCACTGGAGGACTCGCGGCCACGCTGGTGGCACTGCACCTAGGTGCTACCTCCAGAGGACCTACCAGGTCTGGGAAAACTGCATTGAAACCTACTAGGCAAAAGAAACTGCAGCCCTACAAGGTCTGTGTGCACGCGCAACCTGCGGTGTTCTTTTTCCGACCTCGCGGTGCGAGTGTCTGGGCTGAGCCCGTTTGTGAAGGTGCGCTGCACCTGCCTTCTGCGATCCGCAGACAGGCCGGTGGGCAGCGGGAGGCTCTTGTGGCCGGACTGTGCCGGCACTACTGTGCTCTGCACCTGTGTGAAACGGGCGCAGACGAAAGGGCCACTGGCCCTTCAAAACTGTATCCGAACACTGTTCGGAGGGCACTGGTGCACGCCGCTGGCGTCTCTACCAGCCACGGTAGTTCCAGTGCCGGTCGTGGTCCCAAGACCAGCGACCACGGGACCACTGGTCCCGGTCCTCGTCGTCACGGCGGGACCTCTGGTCCTTGCCTTTGCCTTATGACCCACTTACCCGGCCAGAGCCTGGAAATCATGGAAACAATTTCTTTGCAGCTGTCATGCAGCTTTTTTGCAGATTGGTTTTGCAGAAAAGTTGCAGAAAAGTTGCAGCAAAAATGCAGCAAAATTGCAAAAAAAAATAAGAAAATATTACAACATCTTAAAATGTCTGTAAATCGTGTGCTACATGCTTCTGGCTCTGTCTCATCAAAAATGGGGTTATACCCTGCCCAGCCAGGGGGCGATCTGTATGTAGCCAATATCTAGCCGCTCTAGCCTAGCCGATCTAGCCGCTGGCCATAGATCTCCGGCCTCAGAAATCCGTGCTGAGGATGTGGGTTCCAACGAAATTTCTCATCACTACAGCATTAAAAGTTTACATGACGAGGCGAACATTGTGAGCAGGAAGGACAGTCAGTCCCGGTAACAGATTTCAAAGTAAACTAATCAGCTAACCAGCGGCTCCAATATCAAAACAAAATACAAAGAGAGAGAGAGAGAGAGAGAGAGAGAGAGAGAGAGAGAGAGAGAGAGAGAGAGAGAGAGAGAGAGAGAGAGAGAGAGAGAGAGAGAGAGAGAGAGAGAGAGAGAGAGAGAGAGAGAGAGAGAGAGAGAGAGAGAGAGAGAGAGAGAGAGAGAGAGAGAGAGAGAGAGAGAGAGAGAGAGAGAGAGAGAGAGAAAACGAGAGAGAGAGAGAGAGAGAGAGTGTGTGTGTGTGTGTGTGTGAAAAAAACAGAGAGAAACAGAGAGAGAGAGAGAGAGAGAGAGAGAGAGAGAGAGAGAGACAGAGAGAGAGAGGGAGAGAGAGAAAGAGCGCCGCCGAGAGGGAGAGATAGGGCACCGACCTACAGTGACCTACAGACACACAGACAGATAGACACAAAGGCAGACAAAGAGAGCGGGAGAGAAAATGAAAGACAACGAGAAAGAGACAAAACAATAAAAGAGACAGACAGAGGACAGACAGACAGAGAGATCAAAAGTGAAAGGAGAGAGAGCGAGAGAAGGACAGAGACAGAGACGGAAAGACAGAGACAAAGACACAAACAGAGAGGGAAATGGAGACAGAGACAGATACAAAGACACAGACACAAATAGACACGGGGGTCGAAGACTGAGACAGAGTGAGTGAACGAGTGAGATAGTGAGATAGTGAGATAGTGAGACTGAGAGCGAGAGCGAGTGAGAGAGTGAGATTGAGAATGAGAGTGGGGGTGAGGGCGAGAGAGTGAAAGCGAGAGTGAGGGTGAAGGTCACAGGGGATGGTGCAGGTCAGTGTGAGGTGAGTGTGAAGGACAGTGAAGGAGAAGGAGAGTGACAGTTAAAGTGAGAGTGAGCGTGAAGTTGAGGGTCAGCATGAGGGTGAAGGTAAGTGGGAGTGGTGAGGGGGTGGGGTGAGGGTGAGGGTGAGGGCGAGGGTTGAAGGTGAGGGCAAGTGGGAGTGGTGAGGGTGGGAGTGGGGCGAGAAGGACCAGGAGAGCGAGAGCAACAGTGAGAGTGAGAAAGGAGGGTGAAGGTGACGGTGAGAATGAATATGAGAAAGTGACAGTGAGCCTGGGATCGAAGGTAGGGGGTAGCGGGTGAGGGTGAGGGTCAGAGCGAAGTGAAGGTGTAAGGGGAGGATGGCAGCGACAGTGTGAGGAAACATGAGAACAAGAATAAGAGTGAGGGTGAGGATGAGGGTGAAGGTAAGCGGTGGTGGTGAGGGTGTGAAGATGAGTGCGAGGGTGAAGGTGCAAATGAGAGCGGTGAGAGTGAGGGTGGGAGCGGGAGCTCGAGTGAGAGTAAGAGAAAGACAGAGAAAGAGAAAAAGAGAGAAGGAGAATTCTCATATGTATATAGATATATATGTATGGCTGCATGGCATACTAACATATATATATATATATACATAGACATAGACATAGACATAGACATACACATTTACATTTACATATACATATACATATACATATACATGTACATATGCATATGCATATGCATATGCATATGCATATGCATACACACACATGTATATATATACATATATATGTGTACACGTATACGTTACAGTCTATATCTACATATACAACATATATGCACATTTACATCGACAAAATCAACCACATATATATATATGTATATATTTATATGCATACATGTGTAGAATCTATACATAGATATCAGATATATGTAGACTGTAGACTATTGTGCTTGGGGCGTCTTCGTTTGGAAGCAAATCACCAAGTCAGCTAGGGCCAGCTAGGGGCCCACGAAGGGGCGCGGAAAGGGCGAAGCCCATTACAACCGCGAGGCAGACAGACAGACATACATACATACAGCTACAATGACACACGTACAGAGCAGCGGCGGGAGCTCCACTGATCCTCTGCTTTGGGGCTTTGGGGCGTGGACTCGATTTCGAGGTTTGATGTGATAAGGTTAATCAAAGCATTTCGTCATGCACTCAACTCAAACAGCACTCACCGGGTTCACTTCAACTTCATACCGAGTAGGGGCGTAGGCGTAGTAATAGTAACAGCGTAGTACCAGAACTGCAAGCTGCAAGCAACAGGATAAAGCATCAGGGGAAAGGGATTTGAAGCTGTTAGCTGCACCCAACACTCGCAGCTCGTGGAACCATCATAGAATGAGACCTGCACAATGTTGAATCTGTTGAAGTAAATTGGCATTCTCTTTGTGACCGGGGCTTGCTGACGGTGTCCATAGGAACTGTTCTGTTGCACGTTGCAGCAAACCATACGGTGTCACTGAGTGCATCGTACACCACTTGTGGATCGTAAATCGGAGGCCTAACGCAATGGAGTCGCCATAAGCTTTCTTCATGCACTGGCACATTGCATTGTACTCTTTGTGCAGTGTACACGTCTACACTACACTTCTACACACATGCATTGTAAGAAATGTGGAACATGTTGCGTACACAAACACATACCCGACACACCCTATGACATACCCCCCCCCACACACACACACACACTGACATGGAACGACATGGACGTAGATTCAGACGTGGACTTAGACTTAGACTTAGAATCAGACTCAGACTTTGACTCAGACTCAGACATAGCTTCTGACACACAAACGGCCATGCCATGACCCCTCAACGCACAGCACTCGCGATCATGTGCACCACGGTGTGTTTGGGCAACCATTCTGACGCCACGACATTTTGCAACATTGCTCGACTATGGCTCCGAGTGCCAGCGACGGTGGGTCACGAAGACAATTGGACCCGAATCGGATCACGCTGTTTCCTGGCGAATGTCCAAGGCTTCCAAGTCCAAGGACACTCACAGCAGGGCAATGATGATGGTTGCATCGGAAAAAACACTTGACTGACTGGTTCCCTGAAGGAGCGGATGCTGGCTGGCTGAGCATGCGCAAGCCATGGCTCCGGCTTGCAGAACCGGTAACATCAGACTGTTTCACAAGAGTTGTGAAAAGCGATGTGGCCCTAACATAACAAGTCAACAGCAGTCCGGTAACGGGACTAGCTGAGCACAGCAGCCTTACTAATTAGTATGGCATGGCTCAAGCGGCGAAGGGCCAGGCGACTAATCACACAAGGCTTATGGCTTATGTCTATCGGTCTATCCCGAATGTCCAAGGCGAGCACTGCGACGCCAGCAGCAATTAAAAGGCGGACGAATTTCCAGCCGGGAAGCCAGATTTGGAACCCTCTGGAACCCCGACTACTCTGTCATGGCATTGCACCATTACACATGCCGAGCTCCATATTGGTTTCGGAAGGAGGGACTGCACTCCAATATAGATGCTGGGGACCTTGACGTCTCAAAAACACAACACAGAATCACTGATCAATCGGTCGGCATGTTCTGCACCTATGTTTTGAAACTACGTGCACGAGGAGCTGTAGTGTGTAGTGTAGGGTAAGGAAAGGTTGGAGGGTTTTTAGGGTCTGAGGTTTAAGGCGTAAGGCTTGGAGTTTAGGGCCTAGGGCTTTGGGTTTATAGATTACATCTAAATCTAAATCTACAGTACAGGCTTACAAGGGACACACTGGGTACTTAGCAGACTACTAATACTGTGACTACATTGCAACACTGCTGCTACACTGCTACACTCACCACAGTCTCAAGGATTAAGTAGTCTTGTAACCGCTAGCTAGCTAGCAGCTAGCAGCAGCTAGCAGCAGCTTGAAGCAGCTAGAAGCTGCTCGCAGATAGCAGCCATCAATGCGGGTCCCAGATCAGACCTTCCAGCGTCACTTAGAGAATTTCTGCACAGCTTGCCACAACGCTGGCTGAATACTGCTGCTTGTCAATCCCAGCAAATTGCTGGAAAGGAAAATTGTTTGCTTGGTCAGCAATCCCTCCATGTCCACGATGGAAGGGTCTTTGCTGTCCATGGAAATGTCCTTGCCCTTCACCTTGGAAAGCTGCCGCACCAACATCATCTCCATGACAAGGATTTTCCCCTTGCGCATGTCTGGCAAGTGAAAAGCCAACTCAGTCTTCAAGACTTCACGGGCCGAGGCCATCGTTGGGACGTCATCGCTGCTCTCGAACTTATCCATGACGTCCATGGCCGTCTTGAGGACCTGGATGATTTTCCCAGCAAACAGAAACCATGGACAAAGACCTTCAACCACACGTTAGTCACGTTAGTCACTGGTCACGTGCCAGTGTCACCAGCATCACAACACCCCTCAGAGCAGGCAAACAACAACAGTCACAGGATATCTCTGGGTTGTGTGCATCAGTTACTGTGAGTTACAGTTACAACAGTTACATATTCACCAGGTTTACCTCAAGTTTGTCATATCGAACCTTCATTCATCGACTGTACACTGCACTGCTCACACTCCACTTCATTACAATCACGATGCACGTGGTCGTCTGATAAATTTCATTATAGGCTATATAGGTGTGAGTTTGACAACTCGACGCCTCATAATAAGCCTCAGTGCACTGTCGCAGCTTCTTGCCATCAACCTTCTCCACGGACTCCTCAGCAGCACTCAGCAGATCCGCGAAGGTCACCTTGTCCACATCAGGCTTCTCTGTCGGCAAGTCCTTCTTCCAGGAAGAGGGGCCACCCTCCTCGAAGCCTTTCAGAAGCGACTTGACCTGGCTTGCTGATTCAGAAATCTCCCTGGAGTAGGCGACAAACAGCTTCGACACCGCATCCACATACACCTCGTCTGCACGCAAAGGGAAGTGCTTGGCGAGGTCAAGATCCAATAGCTCCTGCAACAGCTCTGGCGACTGATTCGCAATCGCACCGAACAATGCATCCTCGGAGGGGTGAATCTTCTCATTCAGGAAGTCCAAGCTCGTCTTCACGGCGGCCAAGCACTTGTCTCTGGCATTCTTCAGAATCAGGATACCACGTTGCAGCTCTTTGGTCGCCTGAGACTCAGCGGCCTCTGTTGAGTCTGTGCCTTGCAGCTTCTTCCGCTGCCCCACGTAGATAATCCCAGATTGCGAGAACTGAACCAGGGTCAAAACGTACCCGTGCACGACCCCGAAGACCTGAAGGCCTTTTGCATCTCCGTCTTCCGGCGGCGTAGAAGCCGTCGTCGTAGCGGCATTGTTCGCAAACACGGCCTTGGCCAACTGCAGCGTGGTCAGCATCTGCCCCTTCACGTCAGCCGCTGTCTTGAAGTCCGGGCCGAGGATCTGCGACACAAAAGCAAAAGCAGGAAGCCAGATAGTCACTTACACCACGCAGTTTCTGGACACTGTACGTCGGCCAAAATAATACCACGATACTCTCATGTTAGCACCTGCCGTCACTTGCCTTACAGCCTTGCATTGCTATATGCCCCATATATCCTCAGCTACACTGCTACACTGCTCCTTGGTCCTTGGTACCTGCTACCTCCTGCTACGCATCTCAGATCGTTCTTTCGAAACATTGAGACTGACTAACGAGCTCCCTTTCGCAAATCTGGCAGCTGTGCTCTAGACTGTAGACTGTAGACTCGACTCTGAACTCTAGACTGTAGCTTGGACTATGGTCTGCTCTAATCATGAAATCTACGTAATCGGCACGGAAGCACGGGTTGGTGATATGATGATTTTTCGAAGTTGCTACGCCTGCTACACAATGCCCACCCAAACCAAACAGTCTATGCCTATGCCAATGTCTTTGTCGACGCCAGTACACACCTGCTGTGCCATGCAGCACCCTCAAAGTCGTCACCATAGCCCGGCTCTACACTGACTCTCGACCCTACTATACTCTACACTACACTACACTCACTACACGTAACTTAACACTACACTACACTACACTACACTCTACACCACATGTCTGAGCCTGTCCACTCCGAGCCCTTGCAATGCAACCGAACCCGTGTGCCCTACGGTCTATCTTCGGGCTTAACCGCTTAACCCGCCTGAAGTTACGAAGTTTCACGACTTCTGCCTTGTCCGTCATGTGCAGCAACGACTTGTGCACAAAGTGGCTCGCCGCTGTCATGACCTCGCCGGCTCCCGTCCCCTGAATTTGCAAGGACGTCTCTGGCAGCAACTTTCTCACGGCTTCATAGTCGATGGAGATGCGGCTCGCGGACTTCATGACCTGGACCAAATCAGCCACCTGTCGAGCACCCTTGGTGCTGCCAACCCAAGCCTTGAAATCCTCGTAGACAGTTGGCACGCCAGCAACGGAGCTGGCAGCAACCAGCAAGCTTGACACTGCTTCCACAGACGTGGAAGCATAGTTTTCGCCAGCTGTCTGGCCCGCAGGCGACTGCATCATGCTCCGTGCCGTGGCCACGGCGAGCTCAGCGACCTTGCCCAAAAGGGAGGACCACTCCAAGGCCCGAACTCCACCCTTGACTTCACCCAGGAGGGTGTTCACATCCACGAGTCTGGCAGCTGAGACTTCTGAGGCTTCTGTCGAGGAGCCCGCAAGAAGCTCTTTCAACTTCTGCAGCTTCGGAGACAAAAGAGCTTTGCTTCCAGCCGTCTTGACCACGTCACGAACTTGTGCTAGCCAAAAGCTGCCGGCCTGGGTGAAGATAGCCTTGATGCTGCGGTGGAAGAAGCCCGGTCCGGAGTAATCGCTCAGGAAGAAGACGTCCGGAGCTGAACCAGTCAGTTCACGACCATCCTCCAGCTCACACACTTCATCCAACAAGTACAGCACGGCTTGCCAGAAGCGGGCAAGGTCCTCAAAGGCCTGTTTGATGGGAATCAGTTCTGTCATGCTGGCCAGCCCCTCGAAGAATTCCTGTTGCTTGTGGTAGCATTTCAGGAACTGGCAGGCCAGCACAGCGAGGAAGTTCGCATGCTCTTGGCCACCGTTCAAGATGTTCAGGAATGACTCGTTCAGGAAGAGGTGCAGGAAAGCATTTGCCATCTCCTGCATTCACAGAGCAAAGCTGGGGCTTAGTCAACCTTAGCTTAGCCGCTTAGCCGTAGCCGTAGTAGCCTTAGGCCTTAGGCCCTAGGCTTAGATTCCATTTATTCGAATTGCTGCAGAAGCTAGCTTAGCAAAGCAAGCAAACACGGACTTCGACAGCTTACACCAGGCAAAACAAAAGCTCACACGCAGTTCGACCACGCAACACACAAACACACACACAACGGCTTTGAAGGCAGGGATCCACGGCCAAGGCCAACCAGGACAGCACGGTTGATTTGGGGCGAAAGGGCGAAAGAAGTAGGCCCGTAGGCCCAATAGGTTGAATATTCTAGGCACGCGCTGCGACTGAGCACGTTGGTCGGTAACCGTGTAGCCAATAGCCGCCAATAGCCTGTGACATTTGCCACTACTTCGATTGCATCTGCTATACTGCTATACCCACGCCGTACCGGCTTTCCTCAGGACACTTGAGGCAAGAAACATTTTCAACTATGTTGAATTTGACAACTTCTCCCTAAACAACACAGCTTGTTGCCCCAGTCTGCCCTCTCATTTCATTAGTGAAAGGCTCAAAATGAAGGGTGAAACATCTACTCTACTACTGAATCCACTGATCTACTGACTCAATCCACTGCAAAGCACTCCTGGGCCGCTGCTCTGGCTCGTTGCTGGACGAGGTTCTCCTTGGGCTGCGGCTGCTTGTTGTCTGCGCCATCCTCAATCGCATCAATCAAGTCGAACTCTTGCATGGTCCTGTCCAAGCTGGCCTCCACGCTATAGACGGAATCATCCAAGGAGCTCTGAAGCAAGGACAAAGTGTCTGAGAAGTGTGGGTTGTCGCCCCGGAATGCCTTTTTTTCATCAGCATTTGTCGAGTCACCTCGCAAGTCGAGGAAGTCAAAGAACGCCTCCATGAACTCCTCAACTGAGCCCTCCTGAGCCATCTTGATCTTCGCCAGCATTTCCTTGTCACACTTGCTTGCCTCCGGCTTGTCAATGCACAAGCAAGCCAGCTCCAGCTGCTCTCCTGCGTACTTTCCGCAGACTTCGATCTGCAGGTTGTACGAGTAGCGGTCCCACAGGGCGGAGGTGCCTTTGACATGCGCGGTCACCGCTGCCATTGGCGTCGTTGAAAGTCCCGAAGTCAATGCGGTCGCGTGTTCGCATTGCAGGATTCTCTCGTGGAGGAGGTTGCAGGCGACAGTCTCACTCTTGCCCTTCAATGACTCCAAGATACGCTTGGCCTGAGTACGGATCACAATGGCTGGGTCTGAATCTAAAACATAGGGTCTAAGGCTAAGGCGGCTAAGCTAAGGCTAAGGCTAAGGGTAGGACTAAGGGTAAGGCTAAGGCTAAGCCATTTGGAGCTGTACCCAACAAATAACCACAGGGAGCAACGAGAAGCCTAGACTCCTAGACCCCGGGCCCAAGGCCTAGGCGTAGGCCTAGGCCGAGACTTCCATCCCATCTGCTGCATTTGTACGCAACTTTATCTGTATGCAACTTTTATGACATTTTATGATCACCCTCTGCCTGGGCCTGCCTATTGTTTGCCGGAACGCTGGAGAAATTCTGCCAACTTTAGAACTTTTGAAACTTTAGGTAGTTCGCGAGGTCACTTAGAATACTAGTACATGTCACAGCACAGACGGGTCCATCGAAGCCTCTCTGGGAGGGTCCAACGGTTAGTTAGCTACTGCTATTAGCTGCTATAGCTGCTAGCTGCTAGCTATCGTTACTCCTCGTTCAACTCAGGCTCTGACACCGCTCAGGCTGTTGGACAGCTGCTTGGATGGCTCCAAGAGAAAGGATGCCGGAATCAAGTGCTCCAACGAGGTGGCCTTGGAAGTCGGACAGTTGTGGAGGTGTCGCTGAGCAACAAAGGTCATGTCCTTGTCGAGGTTCTGCAAGGTCTTCTTTCCCGCTGTCGATGCGGAGGCCGTCTCAATTGCATCCAACTTCTTGCCGGCACCCGGAACCGTCGGTGCTGGAGTGCCAGGAGCTGAAGCCACTGAAGCCCCAGTCCCAGCTGCTGCGGAGGCGGATTGCTTTGAAGCAGATGCTTTGGGCTTCTTCTTCGGCTTCGACTCCGCTTCATCGAAAAGAAGACCCATGGTTTTCTGGGGCACGACCTGCTTGTCCTCAGCTCCATCCTCGCTGGACCCATCTCCAGGAACGACAGCTTCCTCTGCCTTGCCAGCTGCTGCCTCCGCCGCCTCTGCCAAGCCTTGGAACTTCTTGGTGAAGAAGTCCACGGACTGGGGACGGTTGGCAGCTGGCTTCAGAGGTTGGGGACGTACATTCTGCTCGTTGCTGACGGCGTGGCTGTAGACAGCCCTTGCATGGTCCTTCGTCAATTGCTTCCCGTGCTCCAAGATGGCAACCTCGAGCTGGGTGCAGACATTGTAGTAAATCTTCACCTTGCGAACCGAAGCAATGATGTGCGCCTCCATGCCCACCATGTCGACGAGGTAGTAGTTGCTCTGCGCACTTGGTGACATGTAGGGCAGCTTCACAAGCGCAGGCCCCTTGCTCCCCAGCTCCGTTGGCAGGTGTCCTGTAATCCTTGCGTACTCCTGCTCAGTGAGGAGGGCAAACTCTTTCAAAGCCGTGCTGCACTTCCTTCGAAACGGATCCAAATGGAAAGTTCGGCTCCATGTCACCGTTTGCCACACGGGTTGCCACGTGGAAGTCCTCTTTAAAGGTCGGGTCCTCCTTGCTGGCTGCACCGAGGCGGAAGTGCTCAAGCAGCTCCGGCAGCTTCTTTCCCGGGCGGAGCGTTTTGGCCCGGTCACCGCAGTCAAAGCAGCACTCAAGGAAGGCGTCGTCTTCCTCGGACTTGGCAAAGTGTTTCTCCTGTCATAGCCATGTGGAGCCAGACGATCTAATCATCTAACCTCTGGAATCTAATTTAAGCATTGATGGTACCAGCAATTGCGCAAGTGGCAACCGGTAGAGTCTGATCAAGATAGTAAGTACAAATGTTGGCCATGCTGCCCAGCCGTAGCAACCAGCGGCAGCAAAGTAGAGTAACTTCAAACGTGGCGGTGGTGATGTCTGGAGTCAAGAGCGAATTCAACGTCTATAAGACTCCATAAAGCCACTTTTTAGGCGCTTATGGCTCGAGTGACTAGAATTGGATTTGCAGCGAGCAAGCAAAATCAGCACCAAGCAGCTGACAGAACCGAACCCAATGCCAAATCCGCACTCTGTGGCCTACAGCAGACGGCAGAATGCCGGCGTCGACATAACACACATCAAAGTCTTAGCAGCTTAGCAGTCTTAGCAAGTCTTAGCAGTATTAGCGTCTTAGCAACGCTTTCCTTTCTCAAACCATAGGCCATAGGCCATGGGTCTTAGTCTTCGTCTTAGTCATCAAGGGTTCATGTCATATAGGTAGTAGACTAGTAGACTTAGTAGACTCAGGAAGACTCATGCAAAAGCCGCTGTAACACGTAACACTTAAGACTTAAGTCCTGAAGCCTTAAGTCTTAAGTCATTTCAACGCAACATCCGTAACAATGCCGCTGCAGTCAGCAATCGGCCACTAATAAGCTTTGCTACCTGCTGCATGCCCGAGACATCATGACTCACTGAAATACACTCGACTCAACTGGCTCAACATCGTCAGTCCTTGTTGCTGCAACTGCACAGGAGACAAATGAGGAGCAGGGCCTGCTTGGCACGTTGACGCTTTGCTGGCGCCGCAGGCATGTCTTGCGGTGTAGCGGCAACGAGCTGGGTCCCCTGGCTGTCCTCCGAAGGCAAGAGCGAGGCACCAGAAGGTTTATTATCATAGGGGTTTCACCGGGACTACAGTGACTACAGTGACTACAAACGGCTGGCTCCGAGTGATAGGCGTGCTCGCAGCTAGGCAGCTAGCCACCAGTCGCGGGTATGCAAATTAGGGTTTATACGGTCTATATAGGGTTTAGGGCCTTTAGGGCTTTAGGTTTTATAGGGGGTGAGCCGCTATCCAGTCTAATTCTGTGCAACAGACTGCAACCGTCCTTGCGTTTGCCTGCTTTCCCTGTCATCGCACTCTGAAGTGGCCGCTGAGGAGGAAGTTAAGGCAGCAAAGGCAGCAAGCACAGTCAGAACTGCCAAGCAAAGAAAATCTGCGGAATTTGTCAACAGACGCTTCCTTGAAGCAGTCTCATGATTCTGTTCAAACCCCCAAACCTGTGTGCTTCATGAATCCGAAACGTGTGCAAGAAGCTCTGTCGGCGGCGAGTTTCTCACTCGCGGTCTCAGTCTCAACATTTCAGACGAAGCCCAAGAATGACGTGCACACATCATGTTGTCTCCTGTCTGGTGTTGGGTTGTTTCGCTCTCCCTCTCTCTCTATAGTCTACGCTCTATATATATATATATATAGATATGTATACCTATAAACTATAAACATATGTATATATATATATTTATGTATATATATATATATATATGTATTTGTTTTCCCCCCTTTCCCTCTCTTCTCTCTCGCGTTCTCTCTCGCTCCCTGTCTGTCTCTCTGTCTCCCTCTCTCTCTCTCTCTCTCGTTCTCTCTGGCTCTCTCGTTTTCTCTCTCTCTCTCTCTCTCTCTCTCTCTCTCTCTCTCTCCCTCTCCCTCTCCCCTCTCTCTCAGTCGCTCGACTCTATCTCTTTTCTGTTGCCTCTCTTTCTCTCTTTGATTCACTCTATCTCTCTCTCTCTCTCCCTCTCCCTCTCTATATCGGTCTACTCTCCCTCGGTGCAGCTCTGCCTTTCAAATCTCCTTCTCATGCATGCACGAGTTTCCCCGAAGCTTGAACCTCAATCAGCTCAAGCCGTCTGCCTGCTGCTATCACTAGAGTACAAGCAGCATGGTTGATAAAGCACAAGTCGCTACAGGCCCTAGGCCTAGACTGCCTAGACGCTACGCAAAACATCAACCCTCTAATAAAACTCATTGTTCGGCAGCAGCGGTTAGCAGCGTCCCCGCACATCTTCAGCTCGCATTGTGGACGTTTCCTTCACCCAAGGCCCCAGAGTCGAACGCTCGAATCAAAAGGAGTATGTCTTGCGCAGCATACAATGATGGAACACAGCTCGAACTTTTCACGTGGCCGCATCTGAAGTACTAAGCAAGTAGGTCCGGCCCGGGCTTCTCCACAAGCACACAGGCCTTATGCCCAAGTCAGCGTAGTGCCTAGAAACCAGTGGCCATGAATGTGACCTGGCGATTTCAACATGTCAGACGCTGAATGCTCTTGCGCCCCATCTAGGACTCTAGGATACCCACAGCAAAACCAGGTCGCAAATCCCATGCTCCAGAGCATTCTGCATTGCGCATGTGGCACCGGAAGATCTGGCACCTCTTGCTGTGCGAGCGCTGATCCTCGGTCCTAGCCCTACCTGGCACTATTGATTTGCACTCCTTTCATGCCTTGTGTCGCAACGACCCCCATGTGGACTCCTTGCAGTCGTAGGAAAGTAAAACTTATGTGATATAGTGCCTGCTGCTCGCCTCCCCTGCATGCCCCTTCACAGACCCAGGAGCATATATACACCTACTAACTTAGCAGCTAGCAGCTAGCAGCTGGCAACCTCTGCCTGCCTCCTTCCTTCCCACCCACAAGGGGCGCATCCAACTAGCAAGTAGTAACCTTTGCCATGCTCTGCCTGCCTCCCACCACCCAAAACGTACCCAACTGGCAACCTCTGCCTGCCCTCTACCCTACCCGGTCTACCCTTCCACCCATTCATGGAATTCATGGAGCCTAGCCAACTACTGCCGCAACCTCCGCCTGCCTCCTTCCCACCCACCCACAAAAAGCATATCCAATTGTTGCAACCACCGACCAGCAAGCCGTGCAACCAAGCCTCCGGCTGCCGTCCTGTACACCAACCAGCATACCTCCACCTGCCTCTCGCACCCACCTCTGAACTTGACTGTACTTGGCGGTTCATGAACTAAGTAACTAAGTAAGTCAGCTTAGCGGGAGACGGCAATCACGAGTCAACTTAAACCCCCAAGATAAGACTGTGTAGAGTTCAAGGTGCGAAACAACAACTGTCGGTACTGCGGCATCTCCTGAATAACCGCTGCTAGTCCTAGTGTCCTAAATGTCCTAGTCCTCGTCCTAGTCCTAGTCCTATAGTCCTATTATCCTATAGTCCTAGAGTCCTATAGTCCTATAGTCCTTTTGTCCTATAGTCCTATATGTCCTATAGTCCTATAGTCCTATAGTCCTATAGTCCTATAATCCTGATCCTATGCGACACGGACTTCTGTTGTGCACTCCAAATTATTTCTACGCAGCGGCATCCTGACAAGGTGGCCTGGGCAAACTACACCATACACATGTCAATGAGGATAACTTCGAGCATTTAAACCCCTTGCGACAATTATGTAACTATAGTGTATAGTAACTATGGCCATGGTAAGAATAAATAATTACCCTGTCTTGGATCCAGGTTCAACGCCACCAGCGGCCCTGGACCCTACACTCTACACTCTACACTGACACCCTACCCGGTCCTACCCGTCCAACCTGACATCACGAACCCAGGCTGCCAACCCTCGGATGCATCCTTCTTCACCGAAGGCTGCCTCATGCCTCATTGCAGAATATAAGACAATGTCAAGATATTGCGATCGCCCTGCTTTTGCTCTTCCTGAGGCAACCTTTGGAAACCAAGAAAAAACATTGATGCACTGATGAATCTAGGGTCTAGAATCTTGTCTAGAGTCTAGAGTCGAGAGTCTAGATGAAAGATGCAACCAACCATCCAGCTGTATGGGACGGCGGATGCACATCCAGCAGGCAGCACTAGTTTGCAGGACAGGACTGTTTAGCAAGTTTAACTGTGCACAACATCCGAATGTGCCCATCAGCACGGAATAGAAATACACGAGAAGTACTTCACTTCCAACAAACATTCTTGTTTCATAAGTCAGCACATGGCTTCTTTTGGCTGCTGATGGTCCACGAACAATAGTTCAGGGGAGCTGGTCGTGCACCTAGGTCATAGGTCCTGTAGGTCTAGAGTCGAGTCTAGGCCTAGGCTTTGGGTAATATGAGCGTGTAACATTCTGCACCACGCTATTTTAAAAATATTTTAACAATCTATGCCTCAGGATCTATGAATCTATGAAATTTCCACCTGCCCTGCCATAGCCGCCAAAGCCATGTCACATCCATCAGCTCTTCAAGCTATTGAATTGGCTCAGTAGCAGTAGCAGCAACAGCATCAGCAGCAGCAAATGTATGCGTGCTCAACAGTCAGATGAATCAAAACAGTCTGTCATACGGCCGTGAAATCACAAGTCGGACATAGCTGCTAGGACTGCTAGGACCTCTAGGACTGCTGCCTGACACAGGCCTGCTGCTACTGTAGCTACTTTTCTTCTTGACTTCCTACACTACACTGCCTACACATCCAGGCTGTCTGTGCAGTGCAAGGCAAAAAGCAGGGTTGCCAAACAGGGAAGACAAATGCCCTCACCAGCAAGGCTGCGCAAAGACCGCTGCTTCATGCCATCCGGGATCTTCACGTCCACCGTGTGGCCCTGAAAGAAAAGCATCTCCAGAGGCAACACGACCCTGTCACGGCCATGCGAATAGATCGTGCTCGACGTGGTGAGGCATCTCGAGCTGCCACTTGCAGCCGTAAAGGACTTGCGGTTTGGGTTTTGGGAAACGTCAGTGTAAAGGTCCTGACACTTCTTCCGAACCCCACCCTCGGAGCCGTCAGAGCACCCAGTCCTTCCCAAATACTGAAGCACAGCTAGATCTAAGACCTCTTTCACACGAGCATTGTGGGAAATGCCATCAAGCTTGATGTCTGGCAAAGAGGTCCAAGGCTTTGCAGTCACGGCCAAGCCAGGTTTACCAGCTGCAACACGTAGCTTCCTGGACTGCGTCTGCCACTTCTTCTCAAACGGCATCTCCTCCGCACGAAAGGATATGCCCCTAAGCTGACACTCGAGTCTATTAAGACTATAGTGACTAGAGTCTAAAGCAACTAAAACAGCCATAAGCAAAGGCCTTCTTATTCTTCCAAATGCCAACCTTGCAGCCAACTAAGTTTGTTACTCTTCTGTGGTATTGATAAGTATTTCGGCGCATTGGGGATTGCTTAAAGCTTAAGGAGCTGTGGAGCCAGAAAGCATTAATCATTAGTGTAATCAGTGTAATCCAGGCCAGGGTGTCGGGCGGTTTCCGATCAGCACAATAGCTGCAATCCTGGATACCACTGACCCCCAATCTGCAAAAAAGCTGCAACCCTGGCTTACCCACCGCCAAAAGCTGCAACAAAAGCTGCAAAAAAGCTGCAAAAAAGCTGCAAAAAAGCTGCAAAAAAGCTGCAAAAAAGCTGCAAAAAAGCTGCAAAAAAGCTGCAAAAAAGCTGCAAATGCTCCAAGGATTTTGCAGATTTGGCCTCCCCGGGCTGGGGGCTGGGCTGGGGGGCCTGGGCTGGGGCTGGGTTGCGGCTGGGCTGGGGGGGTGGGCTGGGGGGTGGGCTGGAGGGGGTCGGGTGGGGTCGGGGCTTGGGCGGGCTGGGGGTTGGGACTGGTCGGGTCTTGGCCTGGGCTGGGCTGGGCTGGGTTAGGCCTCTGACCAGTCGGCCCCGACCAGATGATGCTCGCACAGGTGCTGCTATTCAACATACTCAAGCCCGAAAACAAAAACTATCAAAACCACAAAGGTAAACAAACACAGCCCCCTTCGCAACGCCAACAAGCATAACGGCCGTGATGTCGTCCCAAAAGCAAACAATTAAGAACGAACTGTTCTAGATTATAGCCTAGCCGGGTCTAATCTGTGATCAACAGCCACTATCAAGATCGTCCAGCCATTGCTTGTGACATCGCATGGAGGCATTTTTGCAGCATGGTTTGCAACTATTCTTAAACAGCTCTTTGTAGGATATGTGGTACATCGATCCTTTCCATCGATCTATGTATCTATACTATCTATACTGTATATACTGCCGTTTGGGGCCAGGTGCTCATGATGCTGGACAGAACCGAAACGAGAGATTGGTGGCATGGAGTGCGTTGGGTGCTGGACGCTTTTTTTCCTTTTGCAAGCAAACAAACGAAGAACAAAAACCAGGAAGGGTAAAAAAGATCGAAACTTAGGGTTTGGTGACGTGCGTGAGCTTGGGTTGCCCAGAATTGAATGTTTTCCGTTGGGCTGTTCCCAGTACCGTTTCTTCTGTCGGCTGCAGTCTGGACAAAGGCTTGCTGGGCAGACGGCGGGTCGACGAGCAGTGCACTGCTCACTGTAACCGACCACTCGGCAAGCCCTTTCCTTTGCTGCAGCCAGGTCAGGGCTAGGGCCGACCTTCTGGGGTCGTGGCGAGTAGTGCCCGCTTGGTGGCAGAAAAGCAGAAAAGCTCAAAAAAGAAATAACGAAAACTGCAGTTGGTCACTCGCCTTAAACCTGAAACGGCTGGTGGAAGGAGCTCCTTCCAACCTCACCGCTTAAGGCGTAAGGCTTAAGGCTGAGGGCTTAGGGTTGGAGGGGTTTTCTGAGGGTTGCTGGGGAGGCCACAAGGTGCAGTGGATTTGTAGCAACGTTGCAATATTCTTGTCCAATAATCTTGGCATCAGATCAAGGCGGGAAGGCTTTTAATATAAGGCTCAAAGCCCAAAATCGCAAAACTCAACCCAGAAAGTCAAGCTCCAAACCTTGCAGCCCAACTTGCAATTAGTCATAGGTCATACAGTCCTAGGGTCCTAGAGTCCCAAAGAAAGCTTTGGCATTCAAACTCCAGTCAAACCCCAAGTAACCCGGAGCCTTAAAGCCCTGTAATGCCCAATAAGCCATCAGCCCTAAGCCGCCTAAGCCCTAGGCCCTAGGCCCCTACTAAACCCCGAAACTTAAACCCCAAACCCCAAACACACAAACCCTTAACCGCCATAAAGCCAACTTGTGGGAGATTCTTAAGCTACAAATCATCAACCCAGCAGTCAGCCCACACTATCACTAATCACTAATCATAATCACATAATCATATATGTCATAATCATGACTAATCGTCCTGGAGTTCGTTGCTGCTAGCTTTTCCATGCAAGCCCAAATCGTTTGGCCCCTCGGCCAAACCCTTGAAACCCATTTTGCCAGTTCCCAAACCCCGAACCTCAAACACAACTCACGGAACCCCTTGGGCTTGGCCGGGCCGTATAGACCCTAAGTAACCCTTGCTCTGAACCCAAATTTCGAAAATCGGGACCGCGAAACGCCTGAAGCAACAACCCAGAAGCTCCTAGTCTATAGTCACAAATCCTAGTCACTCCCAGTCACGCTAGTCACCACTCACTAGTCACTTGTCATACTGATACTACTTTCACCTTGTGACCTATAGTTACTATAGTTACTATAGTTACTATAGTGACTCGATGACTCTTGTGCAAGCAACGCAGTCCTGGGCCTTCGTTCCATCATCATCGCCCGCAGCCTTTCAGCACAGGACTTTTGCAACAGCGTGCCACAAATTTCCAAGCAGAAGTCTGCACTCAATGCGGCACTGCACAACTTCAGTACAATCACCTTTGCTGGCGCTACACTGCTACACGCTACACGACCGTACACTACACAAGCAGCCAGCTGAAGCTGCAGGTGATTCCACGCAATAGCTAAACTCTGAAATCTCAACCCAGAATCTAGAAGCTAGAAGCACTGAGTTTGACACTGACTCTGGCAGACTCTGGCATCATTTCACAAACATCAAGTAGTCACTAACAGTCACTCACTAACGGAGTCAGCAGGGAGCACCTGTGCCGTGAGGGTAGTGCTCTCTTGGACAAAGGCATCGAAGTGCTCCCTGAACAGAGGGCTGGATTCTTCCAGCATCAACGATGCCAGTTTCAAAGGCTCGTGATGCTGCTTGACATAGTCGACGAGGGCCTGCCAGCACACAGCAAATGACGTTTATTGACATCAATAGCTTACAGAACAGATTCTTGCCAAGACTTTTAGACCCTTGGAGCAGTACTCAGTACTCAGCACACTGAAGGACTGAAAGCACACAGGCACCAAGTACAATCTTCAATTTTTAAGCCCGAAATTTTCAGCAAGGAAGGTTGCCTGCACCGTTGCCTTAAAACGGCGGATATGTTCTTTGTCGAACTTGTCCTTCCGGAAGAAAATGAGATAGCACCTGCGCCGCAACGCAACACGCAATAGCGACATTTTGTAGACCTCTGCACTGCAGTTCCCATGACCAATGAACAGTCGGTTGAAACCCGTTTTTCGACACATCGGACTCACACCTCGAAAACCGGTCTTGGAATTCCAAAAACTCAAGCCCACGCATGCCCACGCAGCACACAGGAAGCATGATCTTCCTCCAGAAGCTAGCAGCTAGCAGCTAGCAGCTAGCAGACTTAGCAGACATAGCACCCTCGGAAAGCTGCAACCCCTTTTCATGGTGACGCAAGCATCTGGATGCGATCGTGGCTGCCTCTTGCGACCGGATAGCGGCATCTAGCGGATTCTGGTTGGCTCCTCCCCCTCCCCATCTGCTTGTTCTCTCTCCAAGCCAGCCCAGTCTGCAGCATCTTCTACATTTTCAAGAAACCAAACTCGGGCATCCTGACGTGCCTGGAAATCGACATGAAAGCTGTGGATATGCTCTTGCTGGCTTGTGTGCTCATGCTGGCATTTGAGCCACGCGATCACTAATCCCAGAGGCCGACCCTGCCCAAATAGTGCTGTGTCCGGCTGCTTCGCGTTGGGGTTGCGGGTGAGGCTTCGCATCACGCGACAGTCCTTGTGAAACCCGCACACAGCAATTATCTGCTTCTGCTCACGATGCTTGTAGTACCGGAGCCGTCCGTAACCTGGCACTTCCACTTCCGTTTTGTCAAAGTCCTCGTGGCGATCTCGAGCTGCCGGAGCACGTGCGGCTCCAGCTGCAGCCCCAGGAAGTTCATCTGGCAAGCCGTCGAGATCTGGATTTGGTTCCGCTGCCTCAGCTGGAGGCTCAGCCGCACGATCTGCAGCATCCTTTGAATCTTCTGCAAGCAAGCCGTCCCAATCAAACTCAGCATCAGAACCTGCATAGGACGGAGAATAATCTTCCAAGTACGCATCTTCGATTTGCTTCAGCCAATGCTGGTATTCCTCGGACTCGTCAGTCCCAGCTGCAGTCTGCCGAACATCTGGGCCTGGCTCATGAGCACCCTGCTCATCGACTTCTTTCGGATCATCCCTATCAAACCAGCCATATGGGTCGAACTCCATTGGCACATCAGGCCCCTGAGCCCGGCCACCTTCACCTGCCTGCACCTCTGCTTCAAGAAGCACATCCAGGGCATCGTCGATGTCACCGTCCCTCGTGTTGTCAGCAGGTTTGGGAGGATCTCGAGCCGTGCGCTTTGAAGGCTTTGAACCCCTGGAGGATGCTGCATCTGTATTGGCAGATCGCTTTGTTCCCCTTTCCTGCCGAACTTTTCGGTGGTGCTTCTCAAAATCAGACCCACGCCACACCCAGCAAGATGGGATTGTGGATGGCTCCACTGCTTTGATCGGCACAACTTTGCAGGAAGTATCCCAGTGTTGCCAGTCATCTTCATCCAGCGAGATTGCATAAGCAGAGAGCATCCATGCAAGGCTGAGGTCCAGGTCCCGAAAGAACTGGAGATCTGTCATGACACCAAGCGATGGCCCAGCTTCAGCCGACGGCAACATGCCCAATTGCAAAGTGCCAGCTTCGTCAGCTTCGGCGATCAAACCGTAAACCCCAAGACGCTCCAAATCATCAGAGAGCTCGGCAGCTGTGAAATGCCAGCTACTGTAGTTGACATGCCCGATGTGCAGGAAATGGACTTCACATTTTGGTTCCTGCTTATCGAAAGTGGATCGCTCGACATCATCACCTTCCTCAATGCCCCATGCTGGACCAGCAGCAAAGCAAAAGACCACCAGATGGCCGTCCATCAAGACCCTTGCCTTGGGGGAAACTTTCCGCACTTTCGCAAACACAGGTTGCATCCAGCGCTTCACATTGTTAAAGCAATGAAGAGCATCTGGAACTGACACATCTGATTGCCCACAAACGCATAAGCCATACTTCAGACATGGCTTTTCCTTGAACACATCCTCAAGATCAGCCGGCAGAATGGGCTTCTGCTCCGCATGCAGCAGCACTCTGCACCGCCTGGTCCAGGAGCGAGTGAGCGCAGCTGACAGACCGTACCGCCTTCGAGTTGCTGTTGCAGCCGGATCATCTCGCAAAGTGGCCTTGCGTGGCAGGGGCCCCGGCCCTACAATGATTTCACAACAAAATTGACTAAGGACAAATTTCACTTCAGCCACTGACTATTTTGCCGGAAATTCAAGCTAGAATGACATTATAGTTACTCTGTTGCTACTGAGCTACTGCTACAGTCTGCTACAGTGACTGTGACTATATGGACTATAAAAATATTGACTATATACTATGCAATAGATAGACTCCAGGTCTTGTATTATATAATTCAACTCACCTGTACACGACGCACAGAAGGTGATGAGCAATGCTGCTCACTCGCAGCAACTATATACCAGGAGCTAGCACCACGTAGCACCACGTTGCAGCAACAAATGTTAAAGCTTAGGCTTAAACTCTTAGACTTAGACTCAGACTTACAAGGCACTGAGAGCAGGTGGAAGACATTCGGTAGGCAACAAGCCAGAGCATGTTTGCTGTTCAGTGGTTTCCGAACTTGCAGGAAAGCTACAATAATACAATACTCAGAAAACCATCAAACCAAAATGCATCTAAGGACGAGTGATTATAGTTTTACAGTGATACTGTAGTGGGCGGGTACCAGGTACCTGTGCCACGGAGGCGTGAAACAATATTCTAGAAACACTAGGACTCTCGGACTCTCGGACCCCAGGATGTACGGCTCAGCAACTGTGGTCACCGTGGTGCGATGGCCGTATTATTCTAGCACCTTTGGCTGGGGTCTAAGCTAACTGCTAACAGCTAGGGGCTACCAAGAACCGCTACTGGCCACCCGCTACCAGCGGCTACCAGGCTACTGCTGCGAAAGCTACAACAATGGCTAGCGGCTACGGCTGCGGCTACGGATGTTACGGCTACAGTGCTACAGCATCGCCAGAATATCAAAGGCAGTAGCTGCGGCGCCAGGCCTTCGACCCATGATCACAATCAGAACTTATTCTAAGCCGCCCTAAGCTCAGTGGTTGAGACGATGAAACCGGTTCGGTCATGTCTGGTATGGCAACGGCAGCAGCAGCTTACAGGATCTTACAGGCAAAACTGAGCAGCAAGAGTCAACAGTCTTGCTGATACGAGTTGGTGGGTATGGCACGGCAGAACCTGCTGGAAGCTGGCGGTTACTCTGTAACTATAGTACCGGACCATGGCACTATAGGACTACTGACTGACTACAGTACTACGGCTACGGGACTATAGGCAGCTAGCAGCAGCTAGCACGTAAGAAGACGGTTTCACGATATAAGGACGGACCTAACCAAACTTAAACCTGGACCGACCTAAACATCGAACGGGTAGGACGGGTAGGAACACGACGTTTTGGAGTCTGCAATTTCAGGGTGTGCAGTATCTACGGCGGCTTACATTGGTTACATGGACATGCCACGTATATTTTTTTGTATACACTTTGATTATTCATGCTCTATATTATTCACAGTATAATATATCACTATACTACTATATTAATATATTACTATATTACCATATTACTATATGACTATATGACTATAATATTACTATATTACTATATTACTATATTACTATATTACTATATTACTATATTACTATATTACTATAGTACTATAGTACTATATTACTATATTACTATATTACTATATATTACTATATTACTATATTACTATATTGCTAGATTACTATATTACTATATTACTATATTATATTTGCGTATACCAGGTTATCCACAATTTAGAATCTAGACTAGACAGACTAGACTAGACTAAACTAGACTGGACTAGATTAGATTAGACGTGACTATACTACATATACATATTATATTTATATATATATACACACCATATACTATACTGAACTATAACATACTGAACTATCGTATACAAGACTACACTCGACTACACCTGACTATACTAAACTATACTATACTAGACTGACTAGACTAGACTCGACTAGACTCGACTATACTAGCCTATACTATACTGCACTATACTACACTATACTATACTATACTATTACTATACAACAGTACAAGGCATTCCTGACTTCTAGATTCTGGGAATTACCTGGTCTCTTATCGGATTAGGATGATTAGGTCAGGTTCTCAAGACCTCCCGACACAAACACAGAAACAAACAAAAACACTGCAAAACTCAGCGTTTCGAAGCCCACCTGCACAACCTTGTCGGTGGGAGCAAGCCAGTTGAAGAACACTGTTGGGGCAGAATCCTGCCGATGGGCCCCAGAATGGCTCGGAAGGCCTTCGAAACCGCTCAGAAGCTCAGCATGGCCTTCACTGTCCAAGAAATCCTTGGCAGGGAGTTTGGCCAAATCTGTCGCGACCTTTTGCACTGCTTCAGATTCTGCTTTGGTGAGGGCCAAAGCATCAGTCTCATGAGCTGGCTTCGATGGAAGAGACTGTTTGAATTCCTCGTATCGCTCAGAAAAAGAGGAACCGGGCAACGTGACCAGGCTGAAATCACCCTGACGTTCCACGTCCCGAGCAACAACGGCATCTGGATTGACTCTGGAAGCCTCGCCTGGTAGTGACTGCACAGGGGCACGCTCACCAAAGGCCTTGTGACCATCGGCATGCGCTCGTGTGCCTGCTGCCCCTGCTTCTGCAAACCATGCCTTCTCCTCGTCGTCCAAGTTCCTGTAAAGTTGGCTTAGATGTGAAGCCAAGGTCGCTGTGAGTTTCTTTCCATGAGCATGGAAGGACACGAAAGCCCTCCAAGCTCCACCACCACCGCGCCGTGGTTTCGACTTCTTGCCGCTGGCTGATGGCAATTTGCAGCGCAGAATTTTCATGCAACGCTTGAGCGATGCAGCAATGAAAGTGCGCCTGCCACGGGTGTGTGTTGCACCAAGCAGTCGAAGCTTCTGCTGCAGCACGTGCCGTGCGCTGACCGACTCCAAGGAGCAGGTCCAGCCACGTGAGCGGATGGCTGAGAAGTCACGCGTGGAGTTGTGAGAGGCCTCCAGATCAGCGATATTCGTGCTGGCCGCCCATGCCAGTGTCTTCACGATGGAAATCGCTTCTGCACCCAAAAGAAGATCCGGTTCAGGATATTTCTGCTTCAACTCCGAAAACACCTGGTCAAGCATGCACGGCGGAAGGTCAAGCAGCCTGTCAGCAGCGGCAGGGTCGTCCAAAAGACGGAACATCTGATAAGGCAGAGCTTGATGGCAAAGGCGAATCAAGGAATGCATGGAGCACATCGTGGCAGAACACATGCAAAACTTCAAGGCTCGCAATGCACAGGCAACAGGGCCAAGGAAGCCGCGAGCATCCTGGTGCAGGACATCCAACAGCCTGACCATCGTGGTGGCCACTGCCTCACCTTTCGCATCTTCCAGGATCACGTACGTTCTCTCCTTGCCCACAGCAGCAAGGCCCGCCTGCTTCTGCTCCCACGCCGCACTACTTCTTCCCAACATCTCTGTCGTGAAATCATGGGTTGGCTGCAGTACTTGTTGCATGATGCAAAGCCTGGGCAAGGGATCACTCAGCACGTACTCTTGAACACTAGCACGACGCCTGGCATTCTCCAGCGCAAAGGCACTTGCAGCATCGACAACCTCATCGCTGCCGGCTGCATCAGGGCGATTGCCACTGAGGTTGCTGCTTGCTGCTGCTGCTGCTGCTGCTCCCTGACCCGCTGGAGCAGGGCCTGCACCGACCACATCCTGTATAACATCAGACCATGCGTCTTGGCCAGGTGCATGAGTCTCAGAATCTTGATGCACAGGCTGCACCGAAGGCTTGCCCAGATAGGTGGACAACAGCTTGGTGAACAGTTTGTGTTGTGACTCCAGCACTGCAATCCATCTCATAGCCTTGCTGCTCTTGGAAGCCCGTTGAAATGTATGCTTCTGGTATTTACTAGGTATAAGTATAACTGTAACTGAAGGTACCAAAATTAAACATTATGTTGAACAGCAATTGGCAGCTGGCAATTGATTGATCCAATTTTTCCTACTGAGGATAGGACACTTGTGCGGCACAAGCGACCATGCCAGGAAGTGTGACATAGACATCAACCGCTCATCTGGCCCAAGGCAACACCCTGAACCAGGAACGCAGTGGTGCTGGACACATGTGTGGGTAAGGTCGCCGTTGAAATAATGGGAGAGAATGTATCTACGCTTGGCATGCAACTTTGCCTGCCCGGGTGGCACCCCTTCAGTGGGCAAAAACATCTCGAAGCATTCACGCCGATAGCGTTGGCATTCAGCAGCATTCTCCGGGCCGGCTGAACTGTGCACTTGCAACTCTGCACACAGAACGGCGATGAAGATATCGCGAAGCTTCTTGACCACGGCTAAGTCGGACATCAACATGAGCCCTGTGTTCAGGACCCCTGAGACATCTGCTTGAGCCGGCTTCAAGCAGTTCTTGATGGTCGTTGCCGCCTTGTGCGCATCGCACCCCAGGTGGCAAAGCAGCACACCTGGGAGCCACGCTCCCAATCCGGCCTCCGTGCGGAAGTTGGCCGTGTACCTGTCGGTGGTCGACTGGCGGACACACAGTGGGAATGCTGCCAGCAGTCTCGTCATCTCGGGTATGGAGCTGAATGTTTCCCACACAGCTCTCCTCTGCGTCTCGCCGGTCGCTCTATCCATGGCTTGAAGACTGCATGGAAAAGCGCTCTGCACCACAGCAAAATGCTGTTGCTGCTGCTTGACCTTGTAGAGAGCGATGACACTTACATGAGTCTGCAAGATCTTCGCGTGCGTCGCCGATTGCATCGTACGGCCTTGACCAAGCTGCCCCTGGGTTTTCAGGAAATGCTGAAGCTCCGGGCCCTTGACGCAAGACTTAGGCACGATCAGATGCTGCAAAGCGTGGCTGTCGCTTTCATGTGTGGCAGACACAGTGGCCACACGAACCTTTGTGGGTGTTTCGTCATATTTGTATTTGAGAATCAACATGAAAGGCTCTAGAGGCGACTGCCCACTGTTCAACGTCTCGAACATGCTACCCAGCAAAAGAGCGGATGACTCCACAGTTGCTGACCCAGCCTGTATAAGACTTCTCTGAGCTTGTTGCCCGCCTCTACCTGTGATGTTGGCCAACGCTGTTGCACTGCAAGCCAGACCTGCACCATTGAGGATCAGATCCAAAGGTTGAGTTGACCTGGAGGGGTCACAGATGTCTTCCAAGGTTGCCTGCCATTGAGCTGGTGTCTGCACGATGGCTTGCAAAGAAGCTCCCAATGCCCGCTGCACAGGGGTGCCTCTTTCACACAGCACTGAAGAAAGTCCAAACTGCAGCGGGTTCCGTCTTGCCTCTGCGGAGTGCCGGCAGCTCACAACAGATGCAGCTCGTGCCCGCTCCAGCTGGCTCACAGCAGGCTCGGCTGCTGCTTGTTGCACTTGAAGTTCTGCCAGGTGCTGACGCATGAGACGGCTTCCAGGCTTGCGACCAGCTCGGCCACCAAGCCCACGTCCACCGCGGCTGCGAGCACGCAAATGCTGCAGATCACTGCACGATGGCACAGGATCCTCACGTTGGGAACCCAGAGGAAGCCCATCGTCCACAAGGGCATCGTCCCATGATGACCCTGCCGTTTCGAGCTCGACATGCTCTACAGACTCTAGTGATTCTAGTCTTGGTAGAGTCAGAGATTCTTGAGACTCAGCAAGCCCAGGTAAAACTTCTGCACCCAAATCTGGAATGGAAGCATGCGGGGCAGAGTCTTCCAATGGCTGAAACCCACCATCGGAATCATGCCCCCATTCAGCGGCACCAGCATCTAGGAAGAACAGTTCCTCATCGGAGCCACCGAGGTGATCAAGACCCGAAGCTTCTTGTGAGTTTTCTGCTATCTCCCCATCAACAGCATCATCCCAAGCGCCGCGACAATCTCAACAGAACTCGTGCAGCTGCAAACTTGCAACGACTGCGCAGTGTAGTTAGTTCACCCACTGCATGTCGAGTCTGCAAGACTTTGGTGCACCATGGCACTTGGATACGGATGGCTACCTACTAGTGACGTCTCGAAATGGCACGACGAGTGTCTGACTGACTAAAACTCTACACCTGGGCATGTGAAAATCAGTGCCTATGCTTATGCCTTCTGCTGCTAGGGCCTAGGGCCTCTGCCTGGAGACTGGGGTCAAGCAGTCTACATTGAATATCGTCAGCGCAAGGCCTGATTGTCCGATTATAGAGTCTATGAGTCTATATATATGTAGGACAATGTAGGACAATGTAGGACAATAGGACGACAGCCGACAACATTCTGCACTCTGCAGAGAAACAGGTTTCCATGCAATCTGGTCTTATTTGGCCGGAGCCGCACGCTGCATCACTCCAGGTGCGAACGCAGAGTCATGGAAGCGGCTGGCGGGGCTTTGGAATGTCGTGCTCGTCACTGCTGCTACTGCCGCTGCTACAGTGCTACAGCTACTGATAGTGACAGCTACTGTCGCTGCTGCTTGCATCAACACCTGACGGGTCCCTCACCTTACGCCTTCCGTTCTGAAATCTGTACTCAAGTCGACAGCAGCAAACATCCCCATCAGGACTGGTGTCAGCTGCGCCTCGGCCTTGAAATCTGCAACCATACAGCGGCATCCATCTCAACCTTGACGAAGTAGTACCCACCGCCACTGTGCCCGGCAGCGGCCAGGCTTGCAAGGAACCTTCAATTGATTTGCTGACTGAGGCTGTGGGACCTTCGGGGACCTTACTGCGTGAGGGCCTTATGATCCTTATAACTCAGGACTGATGGACTGCCATGCCATACCTACCTACCGACCCAGCTTCCAAGGCCTTCTGCCTGCCCGGTCAATGGCAACACTCCCCACACGCCCTTGCGGACTCTTAGGCAATATGGCCTTAGGCAATAGGCCGTAGGCTCTCATGAACTTCTGTGGACTGGCAAGGCAACACCTTTCAATATAACCAACAGCTCAAACCAACAACGACTTGCTAAAACAATAACACTAAACTTAACACTAAACTAGCGAATTGTGACACGTTGAATTTGACAGACACTCAGCAGCAGTTCACTCGGGACACCGTGACTCCCAAACCAGAGCAGACTCAAGCCGGCCACATCCACCAATCTCAAAGATTGAATAATCCAACTCATAACTAACTAATCCTTCCAGGCCTAGGTCAGGGTCTAGAGTCTGGGTGCTAGGTCCTGGCCGAGGGGCCTGGGCCTAGGGCCTAGGGCTAGAGCTAGGGTCTGGGTCCTAGGTCCTAGCAGAGTCAGAGTCCAGTCTAGAGTCTAGGGCCCAAGTCTAGAGTCTAGAGTCGAGTCTAGTCGAGGTACGGTTAATCAATCATTCTACCGGCCAGAATAGTTAGCAGTTAGCAGCTAGCAGCTAGCATGATGAAACCAGACCAGGCTGTGGCTGTCAGAAACGAACACTGCCCAGGGGCCCAGCCTCTGGCACGGGGTATCGTTGGACCCAGTCTGGTACGGCATCACGAACCCCATGACCTGTTCCATTATCGCGACATGGGGCTGGTACTTTTCGTACATTCTCACCAATGTTGTCATCGTGGTCTGGTAGTCGGTGTGGCCTTTTACGTTACCGTCACTGAACCGCTTGCATCGGTACCGGCTAAAAGGGTCACACGGCGACCCACTGACTAGAAGGTCCACAGGCAGGCTGGCATCATTGTGGTCGCATGTGGTTCTCTTGTCTGAGCAAACCTCACACTGTGTGTCATTGGCCAACTGGTCCTCTAAGGAAGCAAACATATGCTTGCACTCTCCTGGAAAGTTGGCCCGCACGAACTGTCGGTAGTCCTGATTGGTATCGGAGGCCGCAAGCAGGTAGAAGCCGATGCCAAGGCCCTGCAAAGGATAACTGCATGACCGTACCCTACCCCGGGCATTGGTGGGCTGAAAGGCTTAGAGTCTTAGAGTAGAGACTTAGATGAAGTGCTTGCAACCACGAAAGAGACGCTAGACTATCTAGAGTCCAGAGCAACTGGAGTCCACAGTTTGGAAACCTTGCAATACACTTCAATACACCTGTACCCCGCCTTGCCTAACAGGGGCCTAACACCTGCATACGAAAGCTACTGACCACCGATTCTGCAGTGACATCCTGCTTTGACGTATTGGGTTGCCAGGCCTCTAGACTCCGGTTTGACTCTACTCAGCTCACTCTACTATACTCTATTCAGTATTCTACTTCACTCTACATATCTGACATGCTTACGGCTTACGGCTTACGGCTCAGGCTCAAGCTTTCTCAGCCTACTCGCACACGCACCGGCTACCTTGCTGCAGCTGCTCTGCTACTGCTGCTGCTACTGACTGCTACTGCTACTGACTTATACTTCCACTCACTTACGCACACACACACACACACCGACCCTCATTGCCCCATGCACAACAAAATGGCACAGACTAAGCACTGACTGGTCGGCAGGCCTTCAATGCCCAGGATTCCGCGCTGCAGCCGGTACAGCCAGAAACTACACGTATGTTGCCGCTCTGTGACGAAGGCGCATCACTCTCAACGTCCGTGTAGCCTAACTCACGCCCTGCAGCTTTCAGAACAACGGCCCACCAGGTACAGGGTTGCCTCTGGCTAGAGTGGCAACTCTCCGAGCCCATACTGTCTCCATCACTAGGTGTCCGCACCACATCGCAGGATTCAACATCGGCACAAAATGCATCCTGAAGTTTGAGCTCATCACTCAAAACATCGTCCCAAGAACTGCCAGCCATTGCCATGGCTGCCGCCAAAAAACTGCAGCTGTCCCTATGCCGTATTTTACAATATCCAAACAGTTCCTATAGTATCCTATAGGTCCTAGGCCCTAGGCTAGTGGATCCTTCGCCTGAAGTACTATAAGTTATAAGTCTTACGTCTTAAGCCTTAAGCATGTAATGTAAGCTCCATGCTTACCCGGCTTACCCTATATTACACAGGCCCGATATAGGCCCGTTCCACACACCCTGATCGCAACACGGGCTACAATGGCTACAAGCTATGAAACATGATTTGAGCATTGGGACCAGCTACAATGCCACAATGCGAAGCGCAGTAATGAAGTAATGGAATCGCAGGCACGGCTGCCGGTTGCTACACACGGCTACGTCTGAATCTAGATTCTAGAGATTCCGAATTTACAGTTTAGAATCTAGAATCTAGAAGTTCGTCTGTCGCCAGCCAGCAGGAAGGCACCGAGAGGACCTAGAATCAGGTAGAACTACACTCGTGATGCCACAGCACTGTCTGTGTCAGGTGTCACGATGTATGACATATGATGACATATGACTGCAGTGAACTGTCTGACATGGGACTCTTGCGAAAGATACCAATGTGCGGAAAAAACAGCGAAGCACCTGAGAGCCTCAACTGCCAAACAAACTCTATTCAACATAGACAAAACTTGCCAAAAATCAAGCTGGACGCAACCAAACATACCGAAAAAACTGCCGACCTGCTCGTGACCAGCTACTAGTTACTAGTTACCAATCACTAGTTCTGAGAGGCTTGGCTAGTTCTCTGCCGATTAGGTACCAGCAGCTAACTGCTAGCTGCTGCCTGCCTGCTAATCTATAGAGTCGAGTCTAAAGTCTAAAATTCTCTCGCAGCCTAGCCGGCCGAGGGCCTAGCCGAGCCGTCTGGGACGATGGTTTTGCTTGCATATAAAGCTTGTTGGAATCTACACAATCTTCCACTGGTTGTCGTTGCCTAGGCCTAGGCCTAGGCCTAGGCACACTTTGAGCGGAGAAACGATGGATCAAAAAACGGGCTCGACACCTCAAGGACACAAGGATAAAGTCGAGTGTTTTGATGAATCTTGAACAAAGCTGGCATACAAGGCTTAAATTTTGCCAACAGGCCAACAGTTAGCCGCCAGTTAGCCCCGGCCCCAGCCGCCCGCCAAACACCGACCTGTCGAAACAAACACATTACTGCCCATTCTGTTCAAGCAGGTCATGCCATAATTCTCAAGGAGGAGTATTCATTTTGCCAATGACTCGATTCGAAATACGCACAAAATCGACTTGTGTTTCTTTTTACTCAGCTACTCAACTACTCACTCCCCGAAGCACCCAAAAGGGCCCAAAAAATATAGTAATTGCGTACCCACCAAAATTTGGTACGTGGACCCAAGCTGACTGACACGCAACCACTTTTGGCAAACCAGCTACTTTTGGCACAACTCGAGCAGATTAACCATGCCCAGGAAATCGGTTCGTAAGGTGCTGGATCAAGTCGATATTGAACATGACAGGATTTTGCGCATATCTTTGTCACTGACTCACTGACCCCGGTCACCAACAATCCCAAACAGCAAACAGCAAAAACCCATCAGAGTATGCACTCCAAATCTTTCACTCCGACCCAACTGAGTTTTGCAATCACAACTGTTGGCAAGCCAACTTCTGGCACAACCCGAATGCACTCTAGAATTA